ATAGGAAAAATCGATTAGTTGCAACTATAGTTGACAACTAATCGATTGGAAAAATTTTACCAACTCGGAACACTAATGTGCACATGATTTTGATTCTGAATTTTTTTCTCTGCGACGTACTAATTAAAATTATAGACCAGAGTTGACAATGAACTGTTTATTAAATTTTGAAAATAAACAAATACAAATATGAACTAATCTAAATAGTGTCCATGTTCATATTTTGTATAATTATAAAAAAGTGGTCTAATTTTATTCGTATTAACGTTCGATGAAATATTTCTAAACAGTAAGCGTTCATCTTTATTTGGACTAAATGTCTATGTTCAATAAAAAAAAATATGGACAGTATGAGTATAATCCACGTCCATTGGCCCATACGTTCGTGTTCTGCCAACACTGCTATAGATCATTAAAAATCAAACCAGATTGGACCAGATGAACTAATCTAATTTCATAACTAAGAAATGCAAATCGTTACAAAACAAATGAAAAGCACTTAGCGTTAAGCCTTAAATTTTTTTCTATTTTTACCCAAATATAAAAATACAATTTGATTTCGTTTTTACATAGGAAATCGCAGTGATAGCATAATCGATACTAGTCAGTTTTTAAAGATTAAATGCATACTAATATACAATACCATGGACTGCTTAAATCGAAATCAAGTCATGATTGCTGTCGGAAATCACTAATCCTAAAAATAAGAAAACTACAAAACAATCAAATTTCATACATTAACCATTGCTTATATTAATAGACTATTAACAACATGAACTAGAAGGGTTATGTTTTTCAGATTAGGGCTTTGTGGATCTTGAGCTGCAACTTGATAATAATATTGTTCTAATCGCTGTTTCACCATCGGTAAGAGCCTTTCACAATGCTCTCGAATTATAAGGTCCTAAAAAATAATCGTCATGTTAAAAGTCCGAGGAAATGAAATGTAATGAATTGAAATCAAAGTGTACGTTAATTATATACCTTTGGATTAAGTTTAATAACAGCCTCCTCCATCCATGCAAATTTGAGCTCAGTATATTTATTTAATTCTAAGGAAAGGTGGTGAATAAGCGAAAGAATGACAGGCTGTGAAAGTAAAGGTCTTGTAGGCGGAAATACGGTCTTCGGATTAACACTATTACAAAGGCGTATAATTAGAGGTAATTCATGTGATGCAAGAACCTAAAGAAAGAATCAGATTAAAAATAAATAATAAAATAAAAATTCAATATTTCTATCATGATAAATTTAATACTGACCGCTACAAATGCATCTTCATAATTCTGAGCTTCCAATGCTCTGTCTATAGCAGAATTATTCGTGTCTTCCAGACCAGCTGCCTCTACAGGAGAAAACAGCTGTTGCTGTTGTTGCTGATGATGTTGCTGCTGTTGATGTTGTTGAGATGATGTTCTTGCCGAGGAAGGAAAGCCATATGTTTCTTGCTGAGTCACAGAGGGCGGTTGAGTTGTAGCACAATTATGTGGAATCAAAATACGTTTCAATTCACCCGAAAGTGACCTAGCTAAATGATGCTGCAATTCGTCAGATGTACGAGCTACTGGTTGTTCCACATGCCTCGTAAGATTTGATTGTGGATTAGCTTGTAGATGTAATTGCTGAAGTTGTTGTACGGACAAGTTTAGATGCTCCAAAGAAGCCTGCAAACGCGCCAAAGCATTCTGATCGCCAACATTTCCAATATTTGAATAGGAGGAAACTTGCGCACTCTTGTGAGCAATATCTTGTAGACCGGCCTCAAAAGTAGTAGTTATTTGCTCAAACATTGCATTGGTAGCTTTTTGATAGGACGGAATGAGTACTGTTGTAAAATTTTCCCTGAATGTTTCCTCGATAACCGGCCTAATAGCCTTTGAGACACCTTTAGCGATTGATTCTATGACTGTAGTTTTTGCAAGAACACGTTGTACATTGTCTGCTACAGATTTTTCAATAGCAGTTGGAATGTTCTAAATTATTGAATATGTAAAGAGTGAGTTGAAATTTTCGTATATAATCATTATTTTTGTTATTTCGAACCTTATTCACGGCATCAACCATTCCTTTATGTGCATGCTTGTCAACAGCATTAGTGACCATCTTGTTTAATGTCGGTAAAACTGAAGTTTGAATTTCGTTACGGATCGTCGATTCCAATAATTTAGCTGTATTGGTGCTTAACGTCTGAGAAACTATTTTAAGAATTGCTTCTTGGCGCGAAGTTTCTGCAGCTTGATGAGCTATGCGTTCATCTTCAATTTTTTGAACTAATTTTAGAAGAGTGAATTAATTAATGGGATTAATTGAACTAAACAATATGTTTATTTGATTCAGGAAAAAAAAAAAAAAAAAATACACTGTTTTTCTAATTCTTTTGAAAACATTTTTCCAATCTTATTGGTAACGTTGTCTTCCATTTTTTTTATTTCTTTCAATATTGTCTGCATTTGAGCTGGTGAAATTCCGGCAACAGAAGCTGTCGTTGAAGACTGTCCAATCGTAGAGAGTACTTCCGGACCAGATACGTCACCAGAAGTTTGTTTTGTTATTGAATAAGATTTTCCGCTGGATACTTTAATACTCACACCATCTTGAAGTATTTCTGTTGCCTTCCTGTTTTTTTCACCACCTGTATTAGATTTCCCGTTCTTTGAGACTCCTTCGGCAGACTTTTTGCCAGCAGATTTGTTAGTCACCTCAGAAGATTGAATAACATTTTCGTTGTCCTTTTCCTTTTCCAATCCTCGACGTGATTCCTTCCGCCTTGAAGTCTTTTCTGAATCTGAAGATATATCTGTATTTTGAACCGCTGATGCAGTACTAGTCGCAGTAATTGTTTTCTTTTTCTCTTTCAATTTGGCTATAGCACCATTAACAGCCGTGGACAATTTAATATTTGTTGTTTTTTGATTTTCTGCATTTTTCGCTTCACTTTCATCTTGTAAATCCGATATATTTCCTTCTATTATATTTTGCTTCCCTGTCGATGTAGATTCATCGATCTCAGAAATTACAGAAACTACTTCAGGTCCATCACCTGCGAAATATGAATTTTCAACTACTAATGTTTCTTTGTTAGTGTCTTTTTCGGCAATACTTTCTTCAACATTAATGCCCTCAGCATTTGAGGAAAAATCAAACGACTCCGAACAAACGGCACCTTGCTCTTTCTTGACATCGTCCTCATCTTCTTGCCGTTGTCGATCAATAACACGCTCTGCGCTTACATATTCAGGACATGCATCAATATTCGGAGGCAATAGCAAATCTCCACTTATGCAATATTGTTGTACTGCTTTAGATTGAATACAATATAACGAAAATCCATCTGAAGATGTAGTGTCTGGTATTATAACGAAGCTACCAATTAATTGATTTACCGGATATTCGACCATATAATCAAATTGTACCGAATTCAAGATGGGAAATTCATCCGGAGTTGTTACAGAATCGTATTCAAACTGCCCATTACCCATCAAGCTGGATTGATTAACCAAGTCAAGCTTCTCTAAATTTTTGCTTGGCATGTTCAGATGCAGAGCAAAAATAGATATCCTAGCACTATTAGCTATCACAAGAGTGCGTGATCGTTGATCAAAGCTAACGCAATTAAACATGGCTTCTTCTTTTCGGTAGCCTTTGTTCAATGAAGGACGACGTTCAGGTGGTGGTAAAAACTTGATCGACTGTATGTACTGGTCAGACTCTACATCGTAGAGGTGGAGGATAGTGTTACGTTCCGTGCCAATGACTACATACCGGAATTTAAACGAAGATTGTTCCGATGAAAATTCTCCTCTATCAACAAATAAAACAGAGGACACTTGCTGTCCATCAAGAATGATTTTGCGTACAGGGGAAATACTAATATCAGATTCAGATTCTTGATTTAGTGCACTAAAAATGACGCAATCTTCACTTGCAGTTGCCAAAATTGTCCCATCATAAGAAAAGGCCAAGTCGCTAATGGGCTAATAAAAAAATATACGCACATAATATGTCTTAATAATTCATATGTATAATTCTAGGTAAATAAAATTTTCATAAATGACAGACCTTATTATGAATCTGAGATTTTAATATCTTGCCAGATATTTCTGATTCCTTAAAACTCCAAGTTTCATTACCCTCTAAAATCTTGCTAATATCGAAGATCATTACTTCGTTCGTATCAGCAGCAACGGCAAACAAATTTGGATTCAATGGATGCCAAACGGCACGATGATATCGTGATTGTTTCGAATCCTCAAGCGATTCTTTGGCATCAATTTCAAGCAACACTTTGTATCTGATTTACAGATATGTAAGGGATCAATGAAGAATATCGGGATGACTTAGTTGTATTGTTGCAAACCGATGTTCCTTTCATAAATGACAAAACAAGGAAGGAAGGCATACGGAATTTCCACGCTTGGTTCAGATGGTGGTTCAGAAAGTTCCCAGACAGTGATTTTACTATCACCACCGATAGCCAAAAGTAGTTGCTTTTCGGGCTGTCCTTGATCAAGTCCATCATGTGATGTTTCCCGGATACACATATCAAGTATAGACTTATCCTTGTCATGATTCCGCAATAGGGTTCTGCTTCCATATAAAGCGCTAATAACTCTAATTTTCCCACCTATATATTAAAATTGTCGGACATAGATTAATTTCAACAAGTAATAAATACTCCATATCATCAAATATCTTATACCTTTAACAACATAGCATATGTAACGCCCGTTGACCGCAATGGATTTTCCAAGACGATATTCCAAATCACTTGGAATAAGAGTTATGGTTGTAAGATTCAAATCCTTTGAGCACAAGACCTTTTCATTTCGTTCGCCAGTATCATACAGAAGAACTCCTCTGGGAAGTCTTACACCATCCGGAATACTAGTACGCATACAAAATAAAAAAAGAACGGTACCGATATTCTATGTTTTAATAAATGATTTTATAAGATAGTTTCAAATCATGTACGAAATAAATCAATATTGTTTACCTTGTTTGACCTTTGGGTGCTGCGCTCGCGCGTACATTCCAAGCTGAAAATCCAGAAAGGAATGGTTCAATTTGTTGTTGAGATCTATAGAAAATTCCACCTTCTTTTTGAACAGTCGATACGTCTTTTCTCTTTTGTGAGGGTGGAGACGATTGTGACGGCCACTGGTGAACGACTGGATGCCGGTGAGAAGGAGAAGATGGTGGTGATTTTTTTAAAAGGTCAAATGGATTGCTATATGTGAATATCGATTTGTTCGTCATGGGCGGTGAATGTTTAATAGCTGTAGTAGTGGAAGTTTGTTTAAAAGATTCCAAACTAGATAATTTGTTGTAATCAATAACTTCAGTGGGAGATGATAAATGTTCATCTATTTCAGATGTTTCTTCAAGAAAAGAGTTATCTTCATCTTCTGGACTTTCATTTGAAACCATTGAAGTTTCAGGTTGAAATTGGATTTCGTTTTCTTGCTGACTACGATAAATAGCTTTGTTAATTACTTTGTTAATAATGATTAAATTCTTAAAATTTATGATAATTACATCCCAGAATTATACCTTTCTTCATGACTCGTGACCGGTGTAGGACGGCCAAATAATGCAAGTTTAAGAGATTCGGTTGAAGCTTTATCGACGTTTAAAGTTGGGTCAACTGTCGTTGAAGAGGATAAAGTTTTAAATTCGCCATTTGAAGGACTTTGTATTTGGCTAACTACAACATTATGTGGTGTCGTTGATACAGGCGAAGTAAGGGAATTGGGATTTATAGTCTTAAATAAAGACGTCAAAGGGCTAGGTGACATTACTTCTGGCTCAGGTAATGGTGGTGGCGGTGGTGGCACAGTAGTTGGTGAATAAGTAACGGTGGAATTATACCCAGTTTGTTGAGTAAATGTCTGATTAAAGCCAAAAGTCTTGGGAGGGCTTTGCCTCGGAGGTGGAGTTGGTTGCGATGGCGGATAGGAGGGTGTTGGTGGACTTCTTTGACCAGCCATTGTCGATTCGGAAGGTGACGCTTGGGTTTTGTGAAGAATACTCAACAACGTTGCTGAAGGGTCCATTTTACAACGTCCTGTAGTAAGTATTTTTTTTTATGCCTTATCGATATACAAAAGTTAAAATTTTTTATCTGTGATAATTTTAGATTTCAGAATGTCAACCTGACTATGACGCTCCGCAGTAACTTTAAAATTAAATGAACTAAAAAATGCGTCAGTTTCTTGTCACATGATAGTAATCACAGTGAGGATAGCTTTTTTATCGATAACTATTAATATTATCGATAAAAGTAATACGGTAATACATTCCTAAATGCATCCTTTCCAAGTGCATATTACAACTTGGGTTTCAAGCTTATAACTTGTACTAAGTACATACACCCTCTACCCTTTGCATGTGCATATGCTTTCACATCCTGAACTTATATATTAAAAAAATATAGTAAAAAAAAAAAAAACTACATAAGACTTATACGTAATTTAAAAGTATTTATTTGTTGCCGGCAATAACAGTACGTATCAGGATTTTATAATACTATATATATACAGTACGAGACAGCCAATTTTTTAGCGGCTGTTTAATATCTAATAATTTTATAACAAATAATTATTTTAAAAATCCCTTTTATACATTTTACTGTATTATTTATAAACTAAACTACAAATTTGTAAGGCAGATTTTTAATGCCTTGCTTTTTACAAAATTTATAAGAAATCAAAAGTTTAAGGAAGGCAAGTCAATCATAGTAACTCTAGTCACGTGTTGGCGATTTGATTGGTCAATACACGATTATAGTTTAACTGTATACATATTTGAAGAATATAACTAGCCACATATACAACTTTTGGTTGCCTAAAGTTTTATACTAGATGTTATACTTATAACCTAACTAGGGTTTATTTAAACCCTTTGTGTCAATATTCATTAACTTTGTACTACTTTATTTTTAGACACCCAATTTAAAATTTTAAAGCAGGTTTATATCTTATAGAAAGTCTTTTGTTCTTAAAAGAAATCTGCTAAAACTTTTCATATCTACAATTCAGTCAATCTAGACTTCAGTAATTTATACTAAGTTTAAAAACAAATACTTGAGACCTTTTATTTTTGCTATTAGTATCTACTGTCCTTTTACTTTTGTAGAATTTATCCAAACTTCAATATTCTTTTTCAAGTTGTATATATTTATTTGTATGAATAATACAAATTTTTAGAAATGAAATAGCTAATCAGAATATATAAAATTTAATTGTTTCAAATTAGACTAATATGAATTCTGAATACAGTATATACAAAAGAAAAAAAAAAAGATAATTTGATTAATAGTTAAATATAATAAAGATTATTAAGAAATAAATAAATATTGTGAAAATAGATAATATTACATATAGGATGTGATAACTTAGTGAAATGGTTAAGTTGTTGCACATCTAAGTGGTATGTTGGTAAGTGAAGAGTTCGAAACTCACTGATAGTGAAATTTCAAATATTCTGCTTATACAACAGTTACTGTCTTTCAATGATTGGTTAAAACAAGATCTCTGTAACTTTGATAGTATTAACAAGATTGAAAGATCATAGAGTATTTGTACAATATATAAGTTATATAAAGACATACAAGCTAGCATCATGCAGTGCAAACTCAAGATTAGTTTTTGTAATTATATTAATTCAAAGAACCAAAAAGTTAAACATCTGCTTGGCAAAACCCAAGTAAAGAAGTAGTACAAACTTTCAATAGTAACTACTGAAATAGGTTTCACTCGATGCTAGATAACTGGATATAGCAAAAACATCTGACAAGTTGCTCCACTAACTAAGTTACTGGAAATAGATGAAAAGGATCAGCAGATACTACAAAACCAGTGTCTCTTTTGGGCTATCTGAATTGATAATCTGAAGAAACCAGCTAGGAATATTAAAAGAAAAGATACCAGATTGTCTTGAAAGAAAGTACCAGGGTTTGAATAAACTTTGAAAGAGCCAGAAAAGTTCAGTGATATGGCCTGTTTATAAAGGCTTAGAACCTATCTGATGAACTTATCTGCAGAAGAAATTGGCAGTGTAGCCTTTCTATAAAAGTATAGAACATATCTGGCAAGACTTATCTAAAAAAACTAGATAATATGATAATAGTAAGTACTGAACTGCTCTAGCAGGTGATGACCTTAAGAATGAATTAGTTAACTATACCAATAGTCCTATAAAGATACATCTACTGTATGTACTAGAGTTTAGAACCGGTTTTATTTTTCATATATTAAAACCGGTTTTAATCGATTTTATTATATGAAAATAAAACCAGTTCCAAACTTTAGTATATACCTCCTATCTGATTTAGAAATTATGCTTTTTATCTAATTAGCATCTATTATGTTGAATTTATATGAATGATTAGTATATAATGTTAATAAAATTAAAAAATTGATTGTTTTTTTAAAAAATCGTTTTTATCTTGAAATTTCATTTATGAAATTAACTTCTGCGTTCTAGTAAAAAAAATTCCTTTCGAAATTTTAATATAGCTTTTTTATTTAAAGTCTTACTTTTACTCTAATACTAACTCTAATATTAATTAATAGTATTTTTTTTTAAAACAACAACAAATATTGAAATCATATAAACAATAATGTTTTGAATAGAGGTATATAGATGTATGCAGCCTATAGTTAGTTTATAACAATCTTAGAATTTAGAAAACTAATATAGTGCATGTTTTAGGTAAGATTAGATAAATTGGTATAGGAAACTCAGATCAGGGAGTTTAATTAAGTAATCCAAATAATAGGTAAGTTATAGGTATGATATTTAGTGTAAAACCTAGTAATAGGCAAACTACTTAAATTAGATGCTCAAAAAGTGCAAGTATGGCTAGAATGTACTCTTGTCAGAATGTATTTGTCTAAGGCCTCTTAAAAAGAGCACTATATGATTCTACAATCTAATTTGATAAGCTAAAGAGGCTAATCTTGACTATAAAAAAAAAGATAATATTATATATATGGGATCTTTGTCTTGAAAATGACCTTACGGTACATAATACTATAAGATCATTTTCAAGGCAAGGACCCTATATATTAAATCTGTTTTATTATTGACTGGCCAATTTTTGTAATACAAATTATATGCATAAGCTAATTACAAATAGGGATAGTATTCGGTCAGCTTGGTTTAATTTGGTTTGAACACCTCCTGGTTTAAGGGATAAGCGGTTAAACTGTGGTTTAGCCGATAATGTATATGATCATTGATTTACATTTCAGATAATGTAATACATAGTTTACTATTATAATTAACTTTTTTTTTTTTCGCAAGATTATAATTAAAAAAAAAAAAATAAATAAAAAATTATACCTGACCGGCAAGTTTATATACAAATATTTCGTAAACAGTTTATATTATTATCAGCAAATGTAAGCTTATTTTACATAAATTTATATCTTTCTCTAACCTTAAGTTTATTTCTAATCTTAATCCTAATGTTAGTAAAATAAGCAACTTTAAGTTTTTTATGAAATAAACTTTATAAACTGGTTGTTGCAAAGTAAATTATATAAATTAATGTACTTTGTCAATTAATTTTTTATAAAATGAGTAGCAATAAGCACAAATATTTATGAGCTTTAAGCATAAAAATTTAGCAGTTGTCAAAAAAAAAAATTTGTAAACATATAATTATGTTTAAAATTTTTATTATGTCTAAACGATATAGGAGAGATTTAGCCAGTATTGTGAATATTAAAGATGAGTGATTAAAAAAAATATATGTATAATAATCAATATGTAAGGAAAATATAATGCAGTAATTGTTCAACAGAAGAATAATAATTACATATATGAAATAAAAATACGTCCAAATAAAAATCATTTCATATAAAACTTTAGACGTAATATATAGAATAATTCTATATATACTCTTTTGAAGGACCTAAATAATTAATATATATGCTATTTAAATTATATAATACAGTATATGCAACTTCTAGTAATACAAAACAAAAAACAAAACCCTATTCATAATCCATTTCATTGTCAATATCAATATCTTCCATATCAATATTATTAATTTTTTCACCAATTTTTTCTGTAATCCAACTTTTTAAGCATAATATTGACCGGGCAGTTTCAGGATCTAATCTGTTACATACCTTTGAAATAGTAAGCCCAGCAATTGAAAATACCTCTTCACATGGTACACTGGATGCCTGAATTGTAAAAAAATCACATGCCATAGTTAATAGAACTAGAAATTGAATTTTATAAACTTTTCACCACTCCAATAGATCACAATTTTCATCAATAGAGATAGCAAAATATCTTTCTAACTCATTGCTAACATTAGGTTGTACAGTTGTAGTTGGGCGAAATTGATTTGCAAGATTTCTTAAATAAGAACGAGCATTACTCTGATTTAATGATGAACTTTCTGAAGATAGTTCTATTAAATTTGGTGAAACCAATATAGCAGTAGTTGAATAATGACACATTTTACTACGCAATAAAAATATAGCATTATTAGTTTCATCTCCAATTGCAAAAACTGAGCACTTAACACGAGGATCTAATATAGTTGCAATTTTAATAGTATCATTAATATTTAGATAATATTCATCAAATTTGTGCCATATAGAATCAGCTATTATATATTGTGTAGTATTATTAATTATTTCATATTCTAATTTTTGCTTTAAGGTCCAAAAAGTAAAATAAAAATCACCGATTGTTGAAAATGAGAATGAAGAAAGTGCTAAAGTTGTGAAATACATTGGTGCTAAAACTGAAATTGCTTCTTATATAATTTATATTATATTAATTAAATTATTATTAAGTTTATTAAATTATTTAATCATACTGTATTTAAATACTTACATATATATTAGTCTAGTCATTATTTGTAAAAGCTAAATTACTAAAATAATTTGGATATTGAGCTATAAGCATATTTGCTTGTATTTGAATTCTTACAAACTTAATTAGCATCAAATATGTAGAATTCCAACGAATTTCTATATCTATTTCTGGACCCAAATAAGGAAGATTTTGTGATTTAAATAATTGTCGCAAATCTTCTATTAATAAATTTGATCCTTTAACTTTTTTCATAAAATATCAAACTTTCTTAATTATTTCATTATGTACTTGAAGACCATGTTGCACAGCTAAATTTAGTATATGTGCTCCACAATGTTGGTGTGAAAATAATAAATTACTAAAATTAGCTTCTAGTTCATTATATAACTGATGGCTGCATACAACCATAACCTGAGCATTATTAGTTGTTAATGATATAATTTTTGTAGTTAAATTATATTTTTTTAATAGATCCATTAACTCTTTTGCTATATTGATACCTGTATATAATTTGCAAAAAGGAATTATATCTAGTAAACACTTGCGCATTTGCCAGTTACTATCTATCCAATGTATAGTTACTCCTAAAAAAGAATAATTATTTTCAGAAGTCCACATATCAGCGACCATTCTTGGAATTTTTTGAAGATCTTCACTTAAATTTGTTTGCTGATTTTGAAATGTTCTTGTAATACATAAACTAATATAATATCGACTTGGTACTTTGTAACGTGGATTAAATTTATTTAGCATTTCTATAAATAATTCTTCTTCAGTTACTGAAAATGGTTGTAAACTCTTAACTATCCAGTTGATTAAGTATTTATTATGTTCAAGCTGTTCTTCTCAATTATAAAGAACAATTTCAGTTTTTGTTTTTTGTTTATAAATATTGAAATGATTTTTTTTTACATGTTCTTTTAATGTTCCAGTAGATGTTGAAGGAGCATATTTAGTCATACAATATTTACAATCTTGTGACATTTCTGATCGATTAAAAAATTTATCCATTTGTGATTTTTTTTTCCTTTTAATATGACGAATAGGTCCACTACGATCAACTTGCAATGAGCAAGTTGATGAGGTTTCTAAATTAGATTCTGTATAAGTAGAAGCAGATCTAACAAGACTATTGAATATATCTTGAATATTTATATCTTGAATATTTGTATCTTGAACGTTTATATCTTGAATACTTGTATCTTGAATGTTTATATCTTGAATACTTGTATTTTGAATATTAATTTCTTGAATGTTTATTTCTGGAATGTTTGTATCCATTTTGAATAACGAAACTAAAAAACACTTTTATTAAATTTATATAAACTCAAACAATTATCAAAATAGTAATTGTCTGTAATCGCTAGAAATTTTTGATTTTAAAAATTTACAATTTTAATCACTTTCTAAAACTTTTATTCGCTAATTATGCTCAAATGCTAACTTCTTTATTACTTTTAACACTAATTATGCTCAAATGCTAACTTCTTTATTACTTTTAACGTTAGTATTTTAATATTAATAATGAACATTATTATTTTTATATATGTATCAATTTTATTTTTTTTTATTGTTGTAATTGTATGCATATGTTCTATTTTTGCATATGTATGCATAATTATTTAACAATCAAACTGAAGCTTAAACCGGTTTAAGCTGTCTTATATTTGTTGCGGCTAAAACTCCAGCTAACTGGTTTGCCCAAACTAATTACAATCCCTACTGATAATATTCAAAAAAAAAGATCTGGAAATAATATTTTGACAGTCTTGCTATTTATAGCATTCGTTTAAACCAA